TACGGTTGGGGTTACGGGTACGTTCCTAACCTTACGTTACGTTCCGTTCTACGTACGTTCTTTACTTACTACTACCTACCGTAACTAACCTAAACCTAACTAAACTAACTACGTACTCTCTCTCTCTCTCTCTCTCTATATATATATATATATATATATATATATATGGAAGATGATAGGGAGAGCCCACAAGAAAAAATGAACCCAACGGTCTAGATTGAATCTGAACTGATCTGACGATCATAGATGTCTGGTAGTGATTGAATTTTAATTTTTTTTTTATAAATCCAAATCACTTGAAATTTGGAGCATGTGTACATAAAAAATTGGTGAATCTTCAAAAAATATGAAAAAAATATTTTACATAAAATAAATTGACCAAAATACCCTTGAAAAGTTTCGGGAGCATTTTGGTCAATTTTTTTCACGAATTAATTTTTTATATTTTTATTAGATGCGGTTTGATAAAAACAACACATGCTTAAAATTTCAAGTAATTTGGATTTGTAGAGTTGACAACCCTCAAAATACTAAAGTTCAAATTAGAAGGGGTTGTGATGGGTATATTTATCAAAACAATTATTACTTTTTTATTAAAAATTTATTTAAATAGACAATTTTACCATTAAGCAAAGGCAAATTTGAAATTTTCACAAAAATACAATGGCATTTTGGAAGTTAGTATCCTGGAATTTTATTTGTAAAGTGCCTTGTCCTTTAGTTACAATTTCAATTTTACCCCTTATGGATGACAAAAGTACCATTTGTCTTGTAGTAATATTTACAAAATTGCCCCACAAAAGTAATTTTTTTAAAAAAATAAACTACAAAATTAATAAATTCATTCTTCACAACTCTCTCTATCTTGAACCTTTATAATTTGAAGGGTTGTGAAGTTTAGAATATCCCTATATATATATGTACCTGTAGAAATCTGCATCCGCCAAACTTTTCTCGCGAGCAAGGTACATATCATTCTCAATTTCTTGCTGCCTCCTTGTGCTTTCCTTTTCCATTAACCTTTGCTCCATGAGGACTTGGCTAACCTACACAAGTTCTCATATAAGAAAGATAAAATAATCCACACAAAGGCATCTCTTTTTCTTTCCATTTTTTGCTAACCTGAGAATTCTTTTCTGCCTCTGACAAAGCGATCTTCTTTTGGGTTTCAGCCTCCTTTTCAGCCACCCGTTGTTTCTCCATTGCAATCAATACCTAGTTGCCAAAAACAAGCCACAATTATTCACATCAAGTTCATTTATTTGTAAGGCAAGCATTTGTTATTCATTATTTCATCGATTTGAAGTATGGTATAGTCATGTGTATCCCTGGCAATGTGCCAAGCCTGGGCCGGCCAAACGTCGTCCCTGGCCTGGGCCTAGTTCCTACAGGGCTGGCTCGATCCTACCCAGCTTGGCCCAGACCAGGCCTAAGAGGCCCTGGCCCCTATCAGGGTCAGGCTGAATACAATACAAGAAAAATAGTAAAAAAAAGGGGCAAGGCAGGACCGAAACGAGCCAGCCCTAGCTCAGGCCAGCACACCCGGCTCTTGGGCTACCTTTTGTGCCCCAGGACCTAGTATTTTAGGGCCAGGCTGACCGGGCAAGACCGGGCTGCACCTCCCCTCCTAGCCCATTGCCAGGCCTAAGTCCTACGCCTTGCCAATGCCCATATGCATTGATATACAATGATGATGGAGAATGACATATTACAACACATCCTATTAAAAGATACATACTAGATCAGATCACTTAAGAACATATGTGAATGTGAGTACCGTATGTCTCCATCTCTCTTTTCTTTTCCTTTTCTCGAAATTGCAATATGTCTAATAAACCCACCACCCCAAGAATGGAAGCGTATCTAACCATAAGTAAATCCAATTCAAAGTAGTTTCAATTGGCATGCAATAAGTGGCAAAAGAAAGCTCTTTCTAAGTTTTGTTACCATTTCAAAACATACTGAGCCAAGATCATCAGAATTAGAATGTTAAACTGTGAAGACAAAAAACACTAAAGGTGCAGAATAAAATAGCTACTTGTTAATGAACAAATAAATGAATGGGGGTGGGTGACCATGCATGAAGATGAAAATTTATACCAAAATAACAAAGAATAAAATGAAGAAAATGACTTCTTATCTTAGTAGAAAAGAGCTGCACTTTCTTTCTGACACTACACTTGCTATCTCATAAACAATAGACTAAGACCCATTCCAAAAAGAGCTACACTTACAAACATGTTTTTCCTAACATTCGTTGATCTCCATAAATTTGAACAAAATGATTCCAAGAAGTCAATGTTAAAGATGTTCAAACAAGGCCAAATCTCCATGACTCAGCTAATATGGTAGCAATATGTCGTTGCATATCCACTAAGGAATGAAAAAAATACAACTAAGAGTTCCTCTGATTATCAATTTATCCAAGGTAAGATGCAAAAAAAGCAGTGAGGTCTTATCAACAATAAACCACGTCCATAATTAAAATAGCATTGTATCAAAGCAATTCATCCTGACATCAAACACCACCTTGGAAACAACTAGGGGAATTATGGATCAGACAACCCTGAAGATGTGCAAAATCCAACTTAGCAGAATCCCAAACTAATAGTATTGCAGAGAACCACAACATATTTAATAGTAACAGGTAGGTGCAAACCAAATCTATTACATTGACACAACCACCCCACATCTCAACAGTTTCCTATTTACAAAATCTGCTAAAACACAATAGTGAGAGTAAAACAGTAGAAAGGTATTAGACAAACCACATTGATGCCTCATGGCAACAGAAGCTTCTTACAACAATCTGCGCATAGAAGATTCCAAGGAGACATTCCTCAAACCTCAATCAGCGCAAATATGAAAGAATAGACAAACAATTCAAAATAGAACCAGATGGCACTATATAAAACCGTTACAATAGAATATTAGTATAAAGCCATCCTTCTCAACATCCTGAATGACTGTAAATACGAATAAACATCTTGTAGTGGCAATTCTCAACAAAGAAGAACACAAAAGAAAACGCTGTGAGGACAACCACCCACAGCATGGTCTGCAATCAGGTCAAAGATGTTCTAAGTCCAAGTAACAAACAAACGAATAAGAGTAATAACAGGAGAGTCACATTCCTCAAGAACAATAACATGCTACCACAGGTTACCAAAACAAGAATAAAACAAGTCCAAACCTCAGCAACTATGGTCAAATAAGCAGTCATTGTGTCGCAGCCCTTTTGAGGAAACAATTGTCGTTCATAGTCTTTTTGGCAGTATGTGGGTCACACCAGCAATGAGGAACCACACCACAGTTGTTCCCCACCTTCTTGGTGCAAAACTGGCACCCAGAAAGGAGATATCTGAGACCAATTCAGCAACAACCACCCATCGATCACGCTGGTTGATCAACCAGCGCGACTTGTTGACTACATGGGGAATCTACAGCATTGTTTATACCCTTGACTTTAAACAAAAACTCAAAATACTTCCTTAGCGACAAATTACAAAATGTTCCTCAACAAATAAAACAATCCCAACACGTCCAACTTGACAAATACTGCAATTCCAAGAACATCCCTATTTCAAATTCAAAAAGATAAAAACTTGTTCCAGCCAGCCACTTGGTGCTATTGACATCAGACTCCCCGGGTTAGAAAGAACTCGTCCTTAAGTTTCGGCAATCATCTTATAAGGCTTTTCCTCTAATTAATGGTGAAGTCCGATGACTACACGGGATTTATCGTTACGAGGAATTAGGTTGAACCCATGGCATTGTCTTTGGTGGTCCAACATTTGGCATACACGGTAGGTAACATGCTGCACATGGAAAGAACAGAGCATGATGTTGGCACCAAAGAAGAGTTGCTATCAATCAAAGAAGTTTGAACCATAATTGTAGATTTACTTACCATTGAAGAAACCATTTCTACCATTTCACAATCAATATGCATAGGAAGGAAAGAACTCACTGAAAGATTGTCAAAATGAAGCCCTAGTTTTAGCATTTGAGCATGGACTGGCTCTTTATACATGACTCCGTCGATGCGCTTGTGAGCTCTAAACAAAGCTGCAAGAGAGATCTCATTGAATCGAACCCCTTTTCTTTTCATCTCTCCTAAAGTTCCCATAGGGGTCAGCCCAAGAAAAAAGCAGCTTACTTGGAGTACCGCAAGCATTTTCTTCTTAAAACCTGTAGATGAACTTAGATTCCAACATCCATGGAAATCAGTACAGAGCAGTGACATAAAATGCCCAAGAATGTTAGGCAATATCAATTTATCCTCTTCACCATGGCTTTGAGGAAGTGCTTCATGGGAGTATAACCTAGGCCATTAGCCTTCACCACCGAATAAGGTTAAACAGCAATGGCTCTCTTTTTCTTCAACAGAAGTGAGTAATTAACTAATCTTCGGCCATTAAATATTGGTTTGTTAGCTGGTGGCATGATAGCTACTGCATAGGCACTAGCATCAGCGAACTCAATGATTCCCACCTATGCAACTCTGAAATTGGGGCCACACATCATGCAAATCAGTGGTGAACTCTCAGTGCAAACAACAGTAAGGGTCCAAAGAACACTCAGATCAACCATTGCAAATGCAGCAACACAAATACTATCTCCCTTGCCTCTCACATAGCCATTCACTGCATATCCAGCAGTAGGCTCATTACTCCCAATAAAGGTAAAGCATGGCTCAAGAAAGAGCTTGAATGCCTCTTTATAACATAAATTGTATTGTAACAATCCAATAGCTGATTCAAAACCCACTTGAGGTCTCAAACTCAGTCCGAGAGCTTGGGCTGTCTTTATATGCTCAAGACTGTGGAGAATTGCTAATTTATCCATTTTCAGGCCTAAAGTATTAAGTTCTAGAACATAACTCAAAGCAATACCTCCATGGACATTGCCAACACAAGCTCCTATCAGAAAGCTCCAATTGATAATCCCTCGATTCAAACACTTGAAAGAGAACCAAGCACCTTCTAGTGAACCTGTCTTGGAAAAGTGTAACAAAAGAACTCCATGCCAAAGTATTTGAGCCTAAGGCCCGCTTAATGTTCAACCCATAAACTCGCAGACTCAAGACTGAAGATCTTGAGTTCAAGCATAAGCATGCCATGGTAATGGAGAAAACTACTTAAACAACCTCATAAATACCCTTACCTCGGTGACTCACAACGTCAAACACTGAATTTGTGAAAATCCCCAGAACCAAACTTCCGCTGCACCACTCTGTTGTAACAATACCAGCCAGTGTATATTGAGAAGACCAATGGGTTTTAATATCATGAAAGAGTTGTGATCCTTGGATGAAGAGTCTCAAGGTCACAAGACTAAAGATTAGAGTGTGCCAAGGTACCATGCCTCAAGATATCTCATTCATCACATTTTGTACATATTGAAACCGCCATCTCTGTAAAGCATGTCCATGATATTAGCAGTCCTAAACACATCTGAGAAAACTCGCTCACGAACTTTGAAATGGGTTAAGATGAATCCTGCATTACAAGAACAACTTTTCTCAATTCGAACTTGGTGAGTTGCTATCATGATCTTCCACTCAAGACAAAGCAATAGCTCATCCAGCCTTTCAGCATTAAGGGCAATATCATACATTTTTTGGTGGGCATTCTTTTCAACGAACTTATCAATTAGAATCCCCGTTGAAAAAGGAATTAGCTTCTTGGTGCATATCTCCCATATAACCCCCAATTCAGGAAAGACGTAGAGAACTATGGAACAGCCAAGTTTTAACAGCATATGGTTGGAGAGTGAAGTCCTTTGAGTCAAAATACAAAGGATTGCCACCACCATCGAGAGAAAGGAATTCTTTATAGTCTCTCCCTCTAACTGGCTCTTAATCTATGTCTTCACCTCTATCATCAACATAATTTTTCTAAGCACTTCCTTCGGGGACAAAGAAACCATTTATCTCCAATATTCTAAAGATCAACTCCTTCACATCCCTCCATTTCTTCATCAAGGATAGCATTCACGAAAACCTCATCAAGGGTAAGATTGATCCTCTTAAATGATGAGATCACCACTAAAGTCGTTATCACCTACTTCTTCTTCAATACCTGAATCTTCATCATGATATACGTCAAAGATTGATGGAGAATCCCAATTTATGATTTGTTGGTTTTGGGAAATGTTTGACAAGAACAAGGCCTCTTCCATGGTTGTCCCATAATACAGTTCCACAACACCTGCTCAAATCATCATCGATTTTGCGCCTAGGGCAATGACATTGTGCATTCAACTCTTGACTATGATCGGACCATGAATCTGACCTGTCTGACACCAACTTGGTCTCTGACTAGTGGTGCTCACCAAAGAAACCCATAAATGTTGCTCTCATCATTGTAGACCTTATCTCGCGTGGAGAATGCTGATTGTAATCATGCACTAGCAAGGCTACTACCTCCTTTAGATCATTTGCCTTTTCAACTAACTCATCATGCATCAGCAAGGCCGCTGATTCATTTTTCACCCTTTCCACCATCCAGTTCAAGTGATGAGCACCATATATATGACCACTTCTACCATGACTAGCCATTGTGATCGGCAAATCTTACAACCTTGGCTCTAATAGTGCAAAACCGGCATCCAGAAAGCAGAGATCCAAATTTGATTCAGCAACAACAACCTGTCGATCATGCTGTTCGATCAACCAAGAGGAAAACTTCCTTGATCACCATCAATAAAGGAAAAGGAACAAGGGTCTTTCGAGCCCTAATCACACTACTACTCCTAGTAGGGTTGCACCTCTAAACAAAGTAGGCCCCTCTCAACTACACAATGTAGGAAGAAATACTATTTTCATCAATCAATCATCTACAACAATGTACAATATATAAAAACCCACCCATGGGCCCTAGACATTGACCAAAATATCCCTAACAAAATAGTAGAATGACCAACCTACCCTTATACCCTATTCCCATACAATTAAATCAATCAGCTTACATGCAACCTAGTTCCCATGTTACAAGTTCCCATTCATGCAACCAATTCCCATGCATAAGAACTCTACATCATTAACTCTTTCACTTGAGGTAATTCAAAACAACATTATTTGAACTTTGACTTGTTAACTAAATGGGGAATCTGCAGCACTCTGTTCTACGCTTGACTTGAAACTTAAACTCAAAATAACCATTTAGGTACAAATTACAAAATGATAAAAAAAAAAAACAATCCCAACACATCCAACTTAACAAATACTGCAATTTCAGAAAAGTCCCCACTTCAAATTCAAAAGAATAAAAACTTGTTCCAGCCAGCCCCTTGGTGCAATTTGCATCATTTCTTCTCCCTCCTCTACCAACTTCGGAGTGTTTATGTGGCAAGCTTTCATTATGGCCTTGGTATGGTACATTTCGTTTGAGAGAGATGAATTTTTTAGGGTACAGAGAAACAGATTGAACTAACCAAGGACAGTATTAAGGCCATGGCCATAGAGTGGGCTAGAACGTGCAAGGAATTCAGAGGTTGCCCAATGGGGGATTTCCTACTTAACTGGTAACCCATCAGTAGGTCTGTCCCAACATCTGTCCCTAGGCCCTCCCACCAAGTTGCAACAGCATCTGGCATGATTAAACTCAACTTTGATGGTTTACTCAACTTTGAAAGGTGCAATCCAGGCAGGGCTGGGGTTGGAGTCAGCTTTCAAAACTCCTAGACTGCCATGCTTATCTTTTTATCAGGTCCTATAGATGTTGTTAGATTGAATACGACTGACTATCGCTCTCCTTGAAGGTCTCAAATGCTTTGACTGAAGATGGCGTCGCTCATGTTAATCAAAGGAGAACCTAAGAACTTCGTAAACTAGGGTAATAAGTCATCTCCCCCTTCTTGGAGACCGGAATTTGTATTCAAACATGTAGTCCACTTGCATACCTATCTTCAACTATCATTTCACCAAACTTGGTGAGAGGCAAACGATTTAGAGGGCAAACATACCAAACAGGGGGCCTTCGGTCTAGATTTTATTATTCACTCACTTCAATCTTAGAGGACTGTTCCTTTTTTGTACTTCCCACCCCCACAATTTTGACTGTGAAACATCTAGTTTCTTCGTGATGTAGCGATCACATTAGTGCCATCATATTTGTATCTACTTTAGGCTCGTGTATTCTCAACATCTTTATATATTAATACAATCTTGTCTACTTCTTCACAGAGAGAACCAAAAAGAAGAAGAAGAAGAAGAAGAAGAGGCTCCAAGAATTCATAATCTGCTATAGTATTGCAATAAGACATTCCAAGACAAGCAACTTATAAGACAATGACCTATGAAAAACATAGTCCATTTGATCATCATGGTCCTAACCTATCAAAGCAGAAAATTACCACAATGGGGGTTCTGACTCCCTCTCTGATCATGGTCTATTTCAATGAACCATGATGGCCCAACTAGACTACAATTATTGAAAAAGAATGACCAAGTGGACCATGGCCTTCCATAACATAATGAATTATACCATACATCCCTTATTTTACATTCAAATGAGTGCATCCCAACATCTTGATTTTAAATGACTGGAGGTATATATTTACTTTTGTGCGCTCTTCTTCCATCTGTTCATAATTCCTTTTTATGCTGACTGGGATTGTTGGTTTCGTCACACGCACATTTATGATCTCAACACCGGGAGCATAACGAGTGCAATCTGCTTGAAGATCTTCCTTCATCTTTTCATCAATCTGTAGAAGAGAACAATGACCGTTAATAAAATAATTTCAACCATGAACTATGTTCAGTAAAAGGAGAGCATGTCATAATCCGTTGGACAATGAAAAAATCATAGCATATCAGGGTTATATAACCAATAACCATCTAATGAAATGATGGACAATGAGTTAAGAGTGAAAGCCAGTAAGAGAGGACACAACCCCAATGGAAGGTCCCACACCCTCTCTCCATCAGTATCCATCATTTCATAGCACAGTATCGGATCCAATAGACCATGGGTTCTGAAAAGGGTTATCGTATTCTTCCCACACTTTCATGTAGCAAAAATAAAGGGCTCCCTATGAGAATTTCACCTGGTCGAACATATCAATGTAGACTTGCTGCAGTGTGTGAGCACTGCAAAACTGATTGATCTCATGGTGTATTTTATCATAGATCCATGTCTTGTCATATTTTACACCGTAGTTAAGCAATGTCTCATAGACATATTCCTTCTTTAGACGATTAACAACCTGTATAAGCAGTGTAACTAGATTTATGGCATTTATCAAGATGGAGGATAGATGTTGCACATATCAATGTAGTAGGAAAGTAAACAAAAAAAATTGAATCTCAAACAACAATGTAAGTAAATTTTAAAGTAGAATAAAAAAGATTAAAAGATCAAGCTGTCTCTAGTCCGGACACACCTCAATCTTCTCAAAGCTGATCATAACTCCGCCTTTAGTACCACATGGGATATCCTTCACCTGTTGCCAAAAAGAAATTATCCATACATTTTCTTACAAATGAAAACTTAATCCATAAATACATAGCAGTACTGTACATTTAAGGAGAAACTACATATGTGCGACCATGTAATTGAAATTAATTGAAAATTTCTTACAACATAGCCAACACTTTGAAAATTTACAGAATTTTCCACTAGTTTTAGAACTATTTGTAAAATAGCTGATAATTTCATGGGACATTCAATACTCAGTGGTTTCTTGGATAGGTCGTATTTCTTGGTTAATTTTACAGCTACCAAAACAAATGAAAAGTCAGAACCATGTTCAGATCATATACAACAAAACAACTGAATAACAACATGAAGAAAAAACAGATGATTATTATTAGATTGTGAATGGCATTATCACCAGAGCCCTCGCTATGCAAATAATCACAATGTTTTCACTATAAATTGCACCATTGGTAATCTAATAGCTATACTTTTGTTGTTTGTCTTTCCTTTTCATGCATTATAATTTTGTTTTATCTTGCACAAAATTCTTTATTCTTCATGGATATGATAAATCCTTTATTGCTAATTACGAAGTGCAAATACGTTATAACCAACTAGATGACCATCCACTGCATAAGAGTATATAAAATAATCTAAAGCATTAGAGAAACTATAAGCAAAATGATAAAATATAATTTTCATATAAATAAGTTATAACGAAGTAACTGCAAATGGAGATGATAAAAAATTATTGTCATAGGACTCTCCAAAATTGAGAGGCCCATTAACAACAAGAGAGGAATAGCAGATGAACCTATCTATCATTGAATAATAAGTCCCATCAAAAGCTATCACTAAAATAGTATATCCCTTGCTAAAATAGATGATCCTATCATAATTTGTGTTCACAAAGGAAACCTTAGGGGAGGGACGACAGCAAATAGGAGCAAGTCTAGATGGGAATTGCAAGAAAAGTAACAATTTCAATATACATAGGAATTGAATGTCAATTATGATGCATGTAAGTGACCAAAACACATACCTGATCTGTTTGAATGGTGACCTGGATGGGCTCAAACTGGGTTATGAAAGGTACCTTCAAATGAAATCCTAAAATATTCAAATGGAAAAAGCAGTCAAATAAAATTTAAATGAAAAAACAAACAAAGCCTTGGATTAAGCATTTATAACCTCCCAGTTTATTTGATGCACCAAAAGACCACAAACACTCTTTGATTTCAAGAGCAAAGCAACATAAACATGTACCTGGACTAGTTATTGTTTTCAAAAGTGCACCTCCTCTCCAATATGCACCAACATGGCCTTCAGGAACTTGATGTAAAATGTAGCCATTGGGGTTTGCATATAAACCCGAAAAGAGTACCTAAAGATCACACAAATTTCAAGCTCATAGCAAGAGATCATCATATAAGTGATTCATGACATAGACGTCACAATTCTATAAGAAAGTAATTATTAGAACCTCAGTAATAGAACTCTGGGTCAATAAGAAAATGCACACAACTTCCTTCATAACCCCTTCTTGCCTGTAAATAAAAACAAAATTGCATTTGTTTTAAAAAAATAGATAGACATTAGCTAGATTTCAGCAAACTGCATTAAAATCAATCTATGCATAAGGGTAGTTTGGCTGCATTTTTGCTCACCAAAATTCACGGAAATTTTGAAAATTGATGAAATTATTCTCTCTTCAACCTCCTCTTTCTCTGAAACTTGTCTCTCTCTAAAGCGTTCGTCTCTCTTTGCACAACCTCCCCCGCTCTCTCTAAAATCTGTCTCTCTCTAAGATGCCCTTCTCTCCCTAAAACCATGGAACCAACAATATTTGATGCTCTGAGAATCAAGAATTGGAGTTCTAGCATAGGAATTGATGAAAATGAACAATTGGGTAAATAGGACAGATGATTTCTGATTGAGTTGCATGCTTGCGGTTGGTTGGAGAGAGCATAATGAGGAAGAGGATCGCAACATGTCTTTCTTTCGGAGTGATTATTTTTCTTTTTGGATTGATATATACCACCGTACCCCTTTCTAAAAAGTTCTCCTCCCTCCCTCCACTCGCCTCCACTAACTCCCCCCACCATCCCACCCGCCTCCACACACTCCCCCCTCCCTCCCCCCTTCAATGCTCCTGCATCTGAAAATTAATGGTAGATTGTGGTTCTTTCTCTGCCTTCAATGCTTGCATCCTTTTTTAGTGGCTTTGCGCAACATTGCAGTTTAATTAACTAAGAATTTACTGCAAATTAATGGTGGATTTGGAGTTATAAAGAAAAGACACCAATGAGTTGCTTGTCTTTTGGTTGAATATGAGAGAGAGAGAGAGAGAGAGAGAGAGAGAGAGAGAGAGAGAGAGAGGAAGATACCTTCTGTAGAACACGATGAAGCGTGGGATCGTGAAGTTTTGAGTGTGGGCTGCAATTTAAAACAGAAGATTTTACTGAAAAGCTGCAGCTTGTGTGCAAGACAATGAAAAATAAAATGGAGTTACAAATTAAAACCTGCAAAGCCACCGATAAAGATTTTGCAATAGCACATCAGCAAAACGGTTTCCAGATGTGACTGCATCTGAAATACATCTTTGTATCAATTGTTTTAGAGCACGAAAAGCAGGTGCACAGGAGATGGCATCATCAAGACCAGTGGGTTCATTAGCAAACTGCCCTCCTGAATGACTATCCAGGTCAAAACCAAGTATAGTGCCTCCTTCCATCTCATTAATCTGGCTGCTCTTCAAAAGAGCATTTACAGCCAAGTGATTAATCTGCACACAAATAACAAAAATCACACAACTACAAGCAGAAATAGGGTAATAGACATAGAAAAATGCATCCTATTTAGAGTGGAATCTAATCAAGGAAAGCTAACCTTAAGCTCAATGGTAACTTTCCGGTATGCTCCGGGATAAATAAGAACAGGTTGCTGAACCTGTAGCAAAGAGAAAGCAATTGAGATGTAATTGCAATTTTAATTGCTCCATATATATATATATATATATAGAGAGAGAGAGAGAGAGAGAGAGAGAAGTAGTCGACACATAATAAAACAACGACAGTATTTACTTTTACTTACAATACACATAAGACTAAACTAAACAGTACGACCCACTAACTTACCAAGAATCTCAGACTAGTTGTTTACACTTACAGCCAA